GATTTTGAAAATCAATATTCTGTAACAGAATATTTCTTTTTTTTAAAATATATTTTATTGAGTTTTCACAGAGAGGAAAGGAGAGAAATAGAGAGTTAGAAACATCGATGAGAGGGAAACATCAACCAGCTGCCTCCTGCACACTCCCCACTGGGGATGTGCCCGCAACCCAGGTACATGCCCTTGACCGGAATCGAACCTGGGACCTTTCAGTCCACAGGCCGACGCTCTATCCACTGAGCCAAACCGGTTTCGGCAGGAATGAAATCTTGACATTTGCAACACAGATGGACCTAGACCAAAAGGGGGATACAGGTTTGCTCAAGGTCCATTTATTATGCTAAGTGAAATAAATCAGATAGAGAAAGACAAATATCATATGATTTCAATTATATGTGTAATCAAACACAAAAAATGGAAACAAACTCATAGATACAGAGGACATTTTGGTAGTGGCCCAATGGGATGAGTTAAAAGGGGAAGAGATTAAGAAGTACAAATTGCTAGTTTTGTTTTTTAAATATTGATTTCAGAGGGGAAGGGAGAGGGAGAGAGACAGAGAAACATAAATGATGATAAAGAATCATTTGTCGGTTGCCTCCTGCACCCCCACACTGGGGATCGAGCCCGAAATCCAAGCAAATGGCCTGACCAGAAAGTGAACTGTGACCTCCTGGTTGACAGGTCGACGCTCAACCACTGAGCCACACCAGCCGGCCCGAATTGCCAGTTTTAAAGCAAACATGACCCTGGTTGGTGTGGCTCAGTTGGTTGGTCATTTCCATTCCTGGTCAGGCACATGCCTGGGTTGTCTTGAATCCTAGTACAGGAGGCAACTAATAGACGTTCCTCTCTCCCTCTCCCTTCCTTTTTCTAAAATCAACAAAATCAAATTTTTTAAAAACAAAACAAAAAACAATGACAATCCTGGCTGTGATGGCTCAGTTGGAAGTAATCCTGTACACGGAAAGGTTGCGGGTTCAATTCCTAGACAGAACACATACCTAGGATGCAGGTATGATTGGCAGTGGGGGGCATACAGAAAGGCAGCCAATCTCTTTCTCCTCTCGTCCCTTCTCTCTAAAATCATGTCTTCGGATGAGGATTAATGAAAACAATTTTTTTTTTTTAACCACAGGCCACTATCATGAAGAACACAGTAGCTGTATGGACCAGGAAGTTCATAACCAACAGACTACTTTATCGGAAACAAATGATCATTGAGGTCCGTTACCCTGAAAAGGTAACAGTACCTGAGACAAAAATTCGGGAAAAAACAGCCAAAAATGTGATCTTTGTATTTGGTGGAAAGACAATTGGTTTTGGCATGATTTATGATTCCTTGGATTACCCAAAGAAAAATGAACCCAAACACAGACTTGCAAGACATGGCCTGTATGAGAAAACAATGACCTCAAGAAAGGAACACAAGCAGAAAATGAAGAAAATTAGGAGAAGTTCAAAGGCCCTTGTTGGTGCTGCAAAAAGTGAGCAGGAGATGGGACAACAGAAGGAGTTAAGATTCTTCAGTGACTTTATCTGTGATAATCACAGGTTTTTCATGAGAGGATTAATAAACTAAGAACTTAAGATAATCACGAGATATAAAGTACAGCATAGGAAATAGTTAATAATATTGTAATAATTGTATGGTGTCAGATGGGTACAAGACTTATCGGGTGATCACTTCATAAATTATATGTCTAATCACTGGGTTGTACACTCTAAACTAATATAATATTGTATGTCAACTGTAATTAAAAACAAAAAATTAAAATTTAATTTAATTTAAAAAGAAAAAAAGAAAGCTGACCTCCTGAGCTATCTCAGAGTCCAGCCCTCAGAAGAAGAGAGACAGACAAGAAATCATCTAAGTGAATTCTGTAATTTGTGTAAGATCAGAGTGGTGCTAAACTGGAATAAAATTTCTTCTGTAGCCGAAGCCGGTTTGGCTCAGTGGATGGAGCGTCGGCCTGCGGACTGAAAGGTCCCAGGTTCAGTTCCGGTCAGGGGCATGTACCTGGGTTGCGGGCACATCCCCAGTGAGATGTGCAAGAGGCAGCTGATCGATGTTTCTCTCTCATCGATGTTTCTAGCTCTCTCTC